AAGTTGCTGCAAAAGACATGTGTTTCTCTTTTTTGGTTGCTGAGTAATATTCCATTGTATATATGTACCACATCTTTCTAATCCAGTCATCTACTAAAAGTTTGGATTTTTAAAAACACATTCAGGTACCTTAAATAAATAGCAAGGCTGCTGAATAACTATGGGGATATGTGAAATGTGGGCCATGTGAATCCTGAGCAACCTGGAATTTAAGGGAGTCAGAGATATAACAAAACTTGTACATAGGTGTAACTCATCCAGTTTGATGCAGAATGACTCTTCCAACATGGACCTTTCCTTCTCTTCAGGAAGCTTCACTAATAACTGTCTAAATACCCTGCATTTTCCTGACACTCACTTTTCTTGACATTTCCACTGTCTGAAATATCACCGCTCATTGTCACTAACTCTAAACTTTTCTTTTTCCTTCTGAAAGCCCTCTGCTATGATACTAATACCCCGGATGTTTCTCTTCTCTGATCCATGACAATATTTTCTGCTTGAAATACACATTTGCAATTTGACTTTTACTTTTGGGTTAGTTTTCTTTCTTTCTTTCTTTTTGTATTTATAGTTAATTTCTGTAATTAGTGAAGAGTTCTAGTATTTTATCCCATCATATATATATATATATACACACACACACACACAAACTCATAAAACAGTAGTTGCTAACTTTATAACTTGCCAACACTAGGTTTTCTTAAAATATATTCACTGAAATGCCATTTCCAGGAGAGCTACTTTGAGAAGAATAATTATGGGTCAACAAGGCTGCAAAACACTAGCCAGTTTCTGCCCAGGATATTCTTGCTATACATTGTCATTTTTAATACTCTCAATAGTAAAGCCAATTTTACTGTTTTAACATATCATACTTTCCTCCCACTTTTTATTTTATTTATTTTGTAAAGATTTATTTATACATACAGAACTGGGGTACAGGGAATGGTGCAGAATGGTAAGAGTATGCACAAAGACAAAGTGGGGAGCAGTACAGGCAGACTGATGAAGTACATTGTTGAGGGGAGCAGCGAGCGGGTCAGGAGAAGTCTGTTGCCACATGTGGGTCACCTCCCTGGCCTGGGATTGAACCTGTGCTGAAGCAGCAGCCAGCGTTGTAGTGCTGTGCTTTAACACTTGTGCCATCAGGGAGGACTTCCTCCCCCCTTTTTTTTTTTTTTTTTTTAATTTATTTATTCATACAGAACTGGGGTACAGGCTAGAGATGCGGAGGGTGAGAGGATTCACCAGGGACAGAGTGGGGAGGCAGATTGACGAAGTACACTGCTGAAAGGAGCAGCAGGTGGGTAGGAAAGGTCTGCCACGCCAGGTGGATCTCTTCCAGGGCAGGCGGGGATCGATCTCATGCTGAAGTAGCTTAAGCTTCTTAGTGTAGTGCTTTAACCTGCTGCGCCACCAGAGAGGGTCCCTCCCACTTTAAAAAAAATATTCATACAGAACTGGGGTACAGGTCAGAGGCACAGGGGCAGCGAGAGTCTTCATTAAAGACAGAGCAGAGAACAAAATAGGTACATCAATGAAATACACTGCTGAGGGGAGTAATGGGCCAGTCAGGGGAAGTCTGCCACGCTATGTGGGTCACCTCCAAAGCCAGGGATCAAACCGGTACTGAAGAGGCTACAGCCAGACTGCAGTGCTGTGTCCTAACCCATTGTGCTACCAGGGAGGGCCCACCTCCCACTTTTTAAATATGAACCTTACTAATACTTCCTACTCCTCAAAATGTGTTTTTGCAAGACACTGTTTTAAAATGGTCTGTGTAAAAAGTATACTAATGATATTCACAAATGTGGAAAAATAATTTTTAAAGTTTATTATTTTTATTGAAATAACAGTTTAAAACACTGCTTATGATTTAGGGGTATAGATTCATATCTCTTCAAAGGTATGTTGTTACTACCCACAACCAAAGCACCAATAATTCTCCACCATAAATCACTAAGCCTCCCCTTCTCTCTATGACCCTCACCCTCTCCTTCTGGTAGCCTCAATTCTGCTATCATATCATAAACCAAACAAAGGAACAGAAAGTGAATTTTGATTAGATGTAGGTCAGACATTTTGTTTGGTCTCTCTGCTTTTGTACTTGGGAAAGTACCCCTGAATTGTATTGGTAGGTGAGGTGTGTGTGTGTGTGTGTGTGTGTGTGTGTGTGTCTGTATACCATACAATGTTAACTCAACCTGAAAATAGATTGAGACTGAAGAGAGAATGATTGAAAGTGGTCTTTCAGCTTGATTATCTGCTAGAATCTCTATTACTTCTCATAATATGCTTGAAAAGTTTTATTTGTACCTCAAGGGCAAGGAGCTTGGCCTCATTTACAAATATGAATACAGATATGTAACAATGTGCTATCTTCTCCTCCTGGCAGTGTTGCTTGCTATTGGCTCATTTTATTTATTCACTTAAAAAAAAAAAGCATATCTATTTTGCTAATGTGGAAAGCAGTAGTTCTAGAGTCAAAAAGTTTTAATTTGATTCCCAATTCAGATCTGAGCATATTTTTCTACTGAAGTCACTGATCCCTCACCTACTGAAAGAGATGCAGCCCGCCTGCCCCAGAGAGCTGCTTCTAACAGAGTGCCTGGCACAAAGGAGACCTTCCATAAATATTAGTCCCCTATGTAGTTCTTTTTTTGTCAGACCGATTTTGACAAGAGAGTTGTACAATCATAAAGTCATGCAGACAAAACTGCCTCTCTCCTGTAGTCACCATTCCACATTTTGTGTTGTACTTCAAACTATAAATGATATCACTATTTTTCATGTCTTCTATTTTATGAGAAGACTAGATGGGGGAAATAGTAAAAGCTGAATTATTATCTCTACAGAGGAATGTTTGATTTAAGTAGTTTTCCAAAATAAAAATCATTTTAGATATGGAAAAGTAACTTGGAGATTATTGAGCCTTAATGGCTAATTAATTGTGTAACACCATTCCCATCTGTAGGTAGGGGTATCTTTTTTTTTTTTTTTTAAAGATTTATTTAATTATTCATACAGAACTGGGGTACAGGCCAGAGATGCGGAGGGTGAGAGGATTCACCAGAGACAGAGCTGGGAGCAGAACAGGCAGATGGACAAAGTACACTGCTGAGGGGAGCAGCGGGCGGGTCAGGAGAGGTCTGCCACGCCATACGGATCTCCTCCGGGGCAGGCGGGAATCGGACTCATGCGGAAGTGGCTTTAGCTTCTCAGGGCTGTGCTTTAACCCGCTGCGCCATCAGGGAGGGCCAGGGGTATCTTTTTTTTATTATTTATTTATTTATTTATTTATTTTGGCTTGAACGTTCATCAGATCATTGAAAAGGGAAATAGTAAATGCTTTAGAGACCACTTCAAGCTGACGTTCAACTTTCATCTCAACACACTTTATAGTTAAAGCCCATTTGCAATGTGGTTTTGGATTATTTACTACCATTCACAAACATAACAAAAGAATCATGATGTTATAATCTTGCCTATTTAGAATTAAAAGCACCCAAAATGATGAAATTCTTCTTTATAGGATAGAATGGAATGGTCAACCTACATCATGACTTCTGTCACCCTCATTTTATAGAAATGGTTGTCTGTAATGTCAGAAACACAAAAATCACGTCTGTATGATTATACCCCTCTTTGTACTGTTCTTGTAGATGCCTATATTTACCTCTGATGAGTGATAAATAGGAAATTTGTTGTAGAATGTAACTTTCTGAATGCAAAGTGATCTCCTGGTAGATTTGTTTGTTTTGGCATAAACAACATGAACAGATAAAGGCGATTTTCTTTTTTGTACTTCAGTTTTCCAAACTAAATTAAAGTAATAAAGGAAGCTAAATGATTCTTGGAGTAACCACAAATGTGCATTAATCAGCATCTATCTTGACCTGGTTTATTGCAGGAGAAGATGTATCAGGGGTTCTCTGTCCGGCTTCTCCGCCTCCTGAACGGATGGCTTGTGAAATCCCCTGCCGAATGGATTGTGTGGTAAGCGAGTGGACAGAGTGGTCATCCTGCTCCCAGTCTTGTTCAAATAAAAATTCAGATGGAAAACAGACCAGGTCAAGGACTATCCTTGCACTCTCTGGAGAAGGTGAGCAGTAGTAAAGTTTTCAACAACAAAGCTGTTTGCCTTAATTATTGTATTAATAGGTCTTATTGAGGAAATAGTGTTATCTTTGTTTCCTAAGTACAATTTTTCATTTCCATGCAGATATTTTCTCTTTAATCATCTAATATATCTTTGTTGAATTCCTATATTCATATGAGTTACTTCATACCTCTGTATATAGGTCATACAATTAGATGGATGTATTGTGTCCTAAGATTTATTTTTATTTATTGATGAATACAAGGACTAGGGTGTAGGCCAGAGGCATGGAGTAGGTGTGGGTGTATGAGAGGATTCACCAGAGACAGAGTGGGAAGCAGAACTGGCAGAGCTACTGAAATACACTGCTGAGGAGAACAGTGAGTGAGACAGGAGAGGTCTACTGCACCATGTGGGTAGGTCCCTGGCCTGGGATGGAATTTATACTGCAGTGGTAATAGCATGATAGTGCTGAGACTTGACCCTTACAACATCAGGGAAACCCAGATGGATATTACTTTTCATTTTATGTTTTGGGGGATGTAAACAATGTTGGGATGACTCACATCCAGCTTTACATGGCTCATGCAGTGGGATCATAATTGGGATGGGTCTGGTAAAAGAGCTTCAAATTAGGGATCAAGAAACATGGCCTCTTGAGTAGAAACTGCCAATAATATTAGCAAGCTATCTCATTCATATGTCCTTTTATTTCCTGTTCTGTCTTGCTGACATGTTGTGAGAACAAAAAGATGAAGGCTGCGAAAATGGCTTTGAAGAAGCTAAAATATGCTTTGGGAATGTTAACAGTGACAACAGAACAAATTAGAGGAGCAGCTGTTCCTATCACTAATAGTCATGGTCTCTGTCCCAAGACACAAGAGCCATTTCTTTCAGGACCTCCTTTGGCTTTGTCTGCCTAGGGCTCAGTTAGAACAGCTGGGCATGTGACCACTGGCTGTGAGGAACTCCTTTTTAGACAAGATGCTGCTCTGTGATCCTGAGAAATGGGGCTAGGGTCAAGATGAATGAAGATTTTCATATTCTTAAAGTGCAGTTGTCTCCCTCTCTCATCTTTTATATTTCTGGAAGGAGAAACAAGTCAGTAGTATTTAATGGGGAAAAAAGTAACAAGAATAACAAAACCAAGGTCACAAATCTTCCTGAACATTTGGTCTGCTGAATAAAACATTACTCTGTAGAAGAGTAGAAAAAAAATCAATACTTCAGATAAATATCAGTTTTTACATGGATATAAAAATGTGAAAGAAAGACAGTAATGAAATTTGATTGCCTGACTCACCCAAGAGTATTGTGATGCACATCTGTCTCGTCTCCCTACCAGTGGATAACACATTGTCAGATATTATTTCAGACTTTCAAGATGCACTTTTTCCAGGAAAACTTTGAGATACTTTTGGTTTTCCCAAATTGCAGTAGAATTCATGACTAAGTAGAGGATGGGTATCCTAAAGTGATTCTCTGTGAAACTTTCCTAATTCTCTGTTAGGTAAGAGAGGCCAAATATAGTTAATTTGTATGTGTTCAGCCTAGTATCACTTAAAGGCCGTGGGTTGATGTGTCTGGCTTATTAATTTATGTAGGCATAGTAATATTAAAATACAAGCAGATTTCTTTAGACTATCTCAGAGATACATGTCAGGAAGTTCAACAGTAGAATCAATAAAATTATAATCGAATTGGCATGTTCTGTGGCTTTTTATTTAGGAGAGAAGTCTGTTTCTCAGGTTACTTCTCACAGTCTAGGACCAAAGCTATAGAATGGAAGAAGGGCATAAGGGTTCAGTTCTTTGGAAGGCCATGTCCAAAAGACCAGCTCTCTGGATCATTGAGGCAGGAAAAAATAAATCAATAACACTAACGGCATCATAGTCTCAACAACAGCAACATCTAGGAATCCTTTTGTGCATTTTAATTTTGCAGGTGGGAAGCCATGCCCCCCTAGTCAGACTCTCCAAGAACACCGTTCATGCAATGATCATTCCTGTGTGCAGCTCTACTGGGAGACTTCACCGTGGGGCCCCTGTTCTGAAGACACTTTAGTAACTGCCCTTAATGCAACCATTGGCTGGAGTGGAGAAGCAACATGTGGTGTGGGCATTCAGACTCGGAGGGTCTTCTGTGTTAAGAGTCACATGGGACAAGTTACAACCAAAAGGTAATATCACTGCTTCGTTAAAAGTAAATATGATCATTACATACAGTATTTTTAGTTGAAAACATTTTTATGCAATAAATATCTCTAAATATGCATAAGAATAGAGCTTATTACTACTTGGTTGCCTCTTAAAGAATAATAAATATGCCTTAAATTATTTTCATATATAATATGGCTCATCTGTAAAGTTATAGTATGTTATTAATTAATGGATAAAAGTAGATAATACTTAAATATTGAATCAGAGTAATCCAATAAAAATTGATCTCAGGGTAGTCAAATAAATCAAACAAAAAATGATCTCCGTAATTTTTTCATCCTAAAGGTTAGGTCCACATGAAGACAGGTTCTACACTTTGAAAGTAAAGCATTGTGTTTATGATCTTCATTATTTCCCACTGATATATTCTACAGTGAGCAATAAATATGAATAGCTGTTTCCAGTAGACTAATTTATGCCCCAGACTAGTTTAAAATCTCATGCATGTGGAGACAAAAATTAAAAAAAAAAAACTTGGACATGGAATATAGGAAATAGATAACAAAAACAATCAGTAGCAATTGCAGTTATTGAAGAAGAATTGAACAGAAACTCAGCTGTGGGAATTTTGTCTCTACACAAATAAGGCATATCTCATCTCCAAATCCATGTAAGACTGATGAAAAAGAAATGTAAAGAGCTTGTGAAGCATCCAGACACTGCCTAACTAATACAGCCATAGAGATTTCCCACTCACCATGTTTGAACTAGAAACCTGTTTATGATAAAAGACTCCACCATAGGCACAGGATGTTGAGTCACCAGGATGGGCTGGTACAAACTTCAGTTTAATGCCATACACTAGCCAACTTTGAGATCTGCCCTAAGAATTTTCAAGTGAAAAGGTGAAATTTTCACTTCTTTTTGCTCATGATGTTCTGTGTATCTGAACTGAGAGTTGCCATGATCAAGCCTGGTTGAAAAATCAGGAGAAAAGAATAAAACTGATGCTCAGAAAGAAGCAAAAGCTGAAAAGGACAAATCCTGGCAGTGTCTACCATGGCTCCATCCCCCTGAGTATATTCTTACCCTTCTGGCAACATAAGTAAATGCTTTTTCTTTGCTTCTGTCTAATTCAATTCAATTTTTATTGCTGTCATGGGTAACTGAAACACCTGATTAATCTTACCTTGGGATATCATAAGGAGGGACTTTGGGCCTTACCCACACTGCCATGACAACCACTTTAGATGTGTATCAGAAACTCATGGAAGCACAGTTAAGGGAAATAGTGACAGAAATAGTGCAGATTGGCCAGGCACTGCAGTTTCAGATGAGCAGATGGCGCTGGAAATGCAAATGAAGATAACTGACTTGAAGTGAGGCACAGTCAAGGACCTAAGCTCTCGCCATTCTAAGTTCAGCTTCCAAAGGGCTGAGGTTGGGTGTTCTTTATTGTTACAACCCAAGCTTTTAGCACAGTGTCTGACTTGTAGTTAGTGGTCTATAAGCATTTGTAAAACACATGAATGAGATAGCATGTTTAGGGATAGTGGATATGGATTGCAAAAGATGAGAGAAATTTTTTTCTTTGCTTCAAGAAAAAAAAATCATCTCTGTAAATCAAAACCACAATGAGATACCACCTCTACTTCTGGAAATGAGCTACATTAAAAATACCAGAGGGCCCCTCCCTAGCGGTACAGTGGGTTACATACAGCACAGCACTGAGAATCTAAAGCCACTACCACATGAGTTGATTCCCGCCTGCCCCTGAGGCGACCACATGGTGCGACAGACCTCTCCTGACCTGCCCGCTGCTCCCCTCGGGAGTGTACTTCGTGGATCTGCCTGTTCTGCTCCCCACTCTGTCTCTGGTGAAGCCTCTCACC